TCCTTGCACTTGCAAGGCAAGCCACTGAACCACTGAGCTAGATCCCCAGCCCAAGCAACAGGTGATTTTTTAAAAAATATTCTATTCTTGTGTTGAATTTCTGGACTCTGGACTATTAGGCGTCCTGATGTAGATTTTTTTTGATCATGGTAAATTAGAGTTCTATATGCCTCTCTTCTCTAAAGATAAAATTGTTTTTTCCTGCTTGAGAAGTTTTCTGCCATTACTTCTGTGAACAGGTTTTTAAGGTCATTTATGTTATCTCCTGCTTTTGTAATTGACTCTGATCAATGTTATGTTATTCTTCTTTGCATCATTTAGCAGCTGTTCAGTTGATTTTTCATGATCCTTTGCTTTTTCTTTTTTTTTTTTTTTTTCCTGTGCCAGGGATCAAACTCTAGCCATTGTGCTTGCAAGGCAGGTGGCAGAACCACTGAGCCAAATCCCTGAGCCCTCTCCCTTATTTTTAAGAAATTCTTCTTTTTGTGGTCGCTAACTGCAATCCTCCTCCTCCTCCTCCTTTACTGGGGATCTAACTCAAAATCTTGTGCTTGCAAAGCAGGTGGCAGAACCACTGAGCTAAATCCCCAGCCCTGATTTGATTTTTTTTTCTAGAGCCTTGTTCATCTGCTTTGTTACTTCTGCTGTTATCAACCATTTCGGAGAGTCCAGTTGGGTGAGTTTCAAATTGTTCCACCTCATTGTCCCCTGAGTTTGTCTTTGGTGAGCTGAAAGTTTTGGGTTGCAACTTGCTTAAGTGTCTTTTCATTTTCTTTGTTTCTTTTTAGTTTAATTTCTGTGTTAATGCTTGTAAATTGCTATGGCAAGTACCTTTATTGCTACTATTTAGAACACTTAGGAAATGACTACTTCTCAGAAATGTCTTCCTGGTATAGCTAGCTTTTGTGTTTTGAGTCTGTTACAAGATCCTACCTCTTTGGTTCATTGGAGATGAGAAATTGCTGCCTGTTTGGCACTGGCCTATAGTATTGTTTATGACCCTTAGGCAGTCTCAGTCTTGGCACATCAAAAGAGCAACTGATTAGAACGACTATGTTACTTTGGCTAAAGTAGTACCATCAGCAACAATGATAGCATCAAATGCAGCCTAGAAAATGACAAATTGTTGTAACTATTAATTTTCCACCTTTAACCACATGAACTAGATTTGTGGTTATATAACAAAATCTAAAACAAACCAGAAAATTATACACAGTATGCCCTCAGTATGGTGATTGGGGGGGGATTTAGCTCAGTGGTTTCACCACCTGCCTTGCATGCTCAAGGGCCCAAGTTTGA